CGCCCCTCACCTAGTCTGTTCTAAGAGCCTCCCAGTTCTTCCTCCTTCCTACTTTGAGTCTTTTCTCCTCACAGCTGCAAGTAACCTTCTTGGAATATAAGTCAGAGCACATCAGCCCTGTGCTCGGTCCCCCAGTGGCATCACATCTCACTCAGGATAAACAGCAAAGTCCTTACCATGGCCTGAACAGGTCTGGTGGCCAGCTCTGAGCTCCTCTCCTGCTTGAGGATATTGGAAGAACAAGGCAGAAGGAGCACATCCCCTCTGCATGTCGGGGCCACCAGCCAGCCATGACAAAGTTCTCTCCCGTTTCAGCCATTGTTCGCTTGGACCTCTTAGAGCCACCAAACCACATCCTAACTGTCTGTGAGGAAGTGATGTTTACCCCTAGCCCTGGAGGCTGAGTAGGAGTTAGCACTAGAAGCTCTGAGGGGGCCGGGCCTGAGGGATGCAGAGAAGTCTGGGGCGGCCGGAGACACAGGGCTGGAAGACGCTGGGCCTTCGCAGGTTGTATTGGGGACTTTTCTGATCTTAACAGCAATGGGAAGCCACTTGTTTATAAATTTATGCCTCCTCTCCTGTTCTTATGTCTGCTTTCCGTTTTGGGGTAGTAGGAGGGAAGTGTGGTGTCACTGAACCAGCACAGGGCTGAGAGTCGGGGATCTGATAGTAGCTTTATTGCGCATGATGTGATCTTCTTTTCTCCCCCCATTAAGTGGGAATAAGCTCTGCCCTATCCAGCCGTAGGTTGCTGAGCGACTGGAAGGACATAGCAATGACCACTGCCACAGTTACTGAGCACTTACTGTCTGCCAGAGACTGATCTAATGCTTTATTTGCATTAAGTCTACGAGGTTTGTCCTGTTTTAGGGGTGAGGAAGCCAGCCTATGGAGGACAAAACTCATCCAAAGTCCCAGAACTGGTCAGTGGCAGAGCTGGGTGGGGTTCCCACTCAGGCAGTCTGGCTCTGGACACTGTATTCCTAACCCCCATACTAGGCTGCCTCTCATAGACTTTGCACACCCCAGTGTTTGGGAAAACAGAAAAGCATGAAGATAAAAAGTACCACTCTGGTACAAAGGGCTTAGTTCAATAATGCAAACAGTGGAAAGCAAACCCAGTCGACCCACTGTAAATAGAGAAAATGTGTCTTCTGCGTTCTACTTTATGGTTGTCTTAGGTAATAAAATTGATGGCTTCCTGATAATTACCATTAAGAGGTTCCATGAGATGTGCTGCTGGACTTGGCAGATAAAAATCAGACACCCTTACTCCTTCCTGCCATTGCTCAAAGCACCTCTAATGCAGAATTAAGAGGAATCATTGCTGGAGACTCTGTGCCCTGCCAGATCCCCATGTCATCAAGTTCAGTGAGAAAGAAATCACCTGATAAGTGCGCAAAGATAATCGTGCTCACAAATGACTAATTTTCTTAGTAATTGAAGATTTAAGTTGATACTGTCTTGAGAATGATTCCCCCGAATTGACGGAACGGTTCACTATACTGTTAGCGCATTCAGCCCAGGGCAGAATCCAAAGGCTCAGAGAAAGGTCTGCAGGTGATGGGGGGTGTTGGGGTTGGGGGGTGAGTCCCAAAAGGTTCTGCAGAGCCAAAGAGTCTAGCAAAGGCCCAGGGACTAGGTGACGGACACTGCCCTTAGCAGAGGAAATACCAGCCAGGGGAGGACTGGCTCATGGGACAGCCAAGGTACATGGGTTTGTAAAGGCACAGCTGTGGATGACCTCAGCCAGCTGCCCTACGAACGAGGAATGACTCCTGTGCCAAAACCCCTGACTTACGTCCAAATGGCTTTCTCCAGTCACAGGAGTTTAGACGGTGGCATTACTGCAGCTTCTCACAGACCAAGGAAAGTTCCAGATATGGCATCCACATCCCAGCCAGCAGGGAGGCAGGGGGAAAGGAGTAGGGCCAGGGCACCTCCCTCTCAGGATGGGCCCCACAAAGTGTGCACATCACTCCCACATAGATCCTGTGGGCCAGAAGCTAGTCCCCTGGCCATATCCAGGCACATGTTTTTATTTTGGGCAACCGTGTGCCTTATTACTAACGAGGGATTCCATTTCTATGAGTGAGAAAGGAAGGGTGGGCATTTGGGGGCTCCCGGCATCCTCGGCCCCCTCTCCACATTTGGGGGCTCCCAGCATCCTCGGCCCCCCACTCCAGTTCAAGTGAGACTTGCCACTTACGCCTCCAGAGCACCTTGACTTGTTTTCGTGGCACTTATCACACCGACTCTGCCATCGCTTTTACTTATTTGTAAAGTGTCTGTTTTACCCTCCCGCCAGTGGGAGGCAAGAATCATATCCTATCCCCTGTGCCTAGGACACAGTAATGGTCTAGAAATACTTGTTAACTCACAGATAGGATTACACCGAACAAACCCAGAGTGTAGGTAGTATTCGAAGAAGAAAGACATTTTCACCTAGTCCCAGTCGTCAGGCGGTGGACAGATAGTTTCACCATGAATTACACCCCTGTGTCCTGTTAACCCTGTCTTCAGGGTGAGTCCCTGGGCCAGCCCCCTCCTAAGGGCCCCACTGCCGAAGCCAGCCGCCACCACGGCCTGCTCTGCTGGTGGCCGTCCTCACCACAGGAGCTGGAGGCCTTTCTCAGGCATGAATACCATTGCTGCCAGTCCTGCTTACACCTGTCTGCGGATTCCCATATCTCACAGTGTCCCAAGTCCACCTGCCTTCCCACCAGAGCCCTATGTACCCTTCTCTCCCGGGAACGCACCCAGCCCCTTCCTGACATTTGAACGCTTCTCCTCGCTGCTGTTGTCATTCAGATCTCAACTAAGATGCTGCTTTCTCAGAGTGGTGGCCCTGGACCAGCAACCGGCTATCAGCACCCAGTCATCTCTCCCACATCATCTCCTAGCACTTGGTAGACTTGAGCTTGTGCCCTGCCCCCAATACATAATGCAGACCTAATCTCCCCAAGACAGATTCCTGATGTTAGTTTCTGGGAACATGTAGAAACACTTGGGAGAGATTGGCTCTTGGAATTGGAAACACCACTAAATGTATCCTTTGAAATCCTGGGGATACGCATCCCAGAACCTCAAGCCATGGTGGGGACATGGTGGGGCTGAGGTCTGCGGCCCGGGACCAACTGCTTCTCTAATCCCCACAATCCTGGCTTGTTTTGTGGGCCTGGAAACATGTATGTGTTACCTGAAAATGGTAAGTTTTACCTGCCACTCTGACATACAGATTCCTGGAGCCCCAGAAGGAGCTCTTGGGATCAGTCTGGGTTCAACCAAGGATACAGAGCTCATGGGGGGATATGGATTAGGACCTGCTGCAAGGCACTGCCTGGTGCCACTGCAGGGGCTGCCAGGAGAGTCTGAGACCCCCAGTGGAGGCTGAGTGCAAGCCGCTGAGAAGGGTGGGCCAGCTCGGGCAGCAGAGGAAGCTGTGTCCACAGCTGTAATTTCTGCCCCAGTGAAGCCTTTGTTCTGCTCTTAAAGCCACTGACTGGAGGAGGCCCCCCCACCAGATTATCTAGAATAATCTCCCTGGCAAAAAGCCACCCGATGATAGACTTTATCCTATCTCCAAAATGCCTTCACAGCACCACCTACGTTAGCATTTGGGAATAAATGCCTCACCGGTTTGACACCTGCGTGTACCCATCTCAGAAAGGCCGGTTCCTAATTTCTATGTGAGACACATTCCAAGTAATTCCAAGAAATGATAGGAACAGTACTGCCCATTTCTCCAAATCCCCAGTCTCTCTAGCTCACAGCTCGACAGCAGCAGTAATTAGAACTTGATTTCATGATTATTATTTGTTCACCCAGGGCTGGTTGCTTAGATACAAAGCAATTCATTTTGAGCCAGATTTTTCTAAGGTGTCCCATAGATATTATAATGTTCCAGAAACCTATTCAGTAATAACTCACAAGTAATGGCTCCCAGAGTTAACCCATTTCTGCTTCACACAATACACGCTGTCTGACTATCATCAACCACTGTGTAATACTCGGTCAGTAACCAGCTGGTGGGCCTAATGCTACTTACAGGATAGTAATCCACATTTCAGGCAGAGTTTATTCTGCAGGTCTCTAGCAACATTTATTTTGAGGCCTTTGGGGCTGTCATATTAAATTCCACCCCCTTGATAAAAAAGAATGTAATGTTTATTGTAAAAAAAATGGATAATACAGAAAGAGGTAAACAAGAAAATAATCACCCTATCCTGCCACCCAAAAGTAATTATTAGTAGTATTCGGATGCACATTCTCTCATAAATATGCATATATAAAATTTATAAAACCATACTATTCATGCATTAGACTTCTTTAACTTCACATTTTGTGATTAAATAATCCATGTAACTAACATTTTAATAATTTCATATAACTACCTTGGCCTCTCTGTTGGACATTTACTTTGTTCCCACTATAAATACCAGGATACAGTCTTGCAACTAGAAGAGGAGTAACGTCTTGGACACCTAATACACAACATAGTGATTACAGTCAACAGTACTCTATTACAAACTTCCAAGTTCCTTAGGAGAGTTGATCTTAAATGTTCTAACTGCAAAAAAGAAATAATTATCAGGAGGCGTGGCAGAGGCTTTAGCTGAGCTGCTATGGTAGTAATCATATTGTAGCAAATAAATGTATCAGATGAACAGCTGATGTGAGCTGAAACTTACACAGTGCTGTTATGTCACATATGCCAGGATCCAGAATGAACATCTTTATGTTAGTCTTTGCACACTTTTATGAATATTGCCTTAGTACTTATGCTTAAAAGTGAAATCATAAGAAGAAAGAGTATAAAGTGTACAAGGCTTTCGAAAGATATCAACAAATTCTTTTCCAGGTTTTTAGAAAACTTCTAAAAAAGATCTCATACTTGGCACCATTTATAAAACATCATTTATAAAACAAGTAGAAGGGTCAATGTAACTATTTCCTAAAAAGCTTATTAACTTCTTAGTACATTTATCTTGAGATGGAGTAATTCTTTATTTCTTTAAAATAATTTGTCTATTTGTTAATGATACAACCCCCAAATTTTATCACTCCTCTTCAGGAGCCTTAAATGTGTGGCCAGGACACCGGCTTTCCCTAATGGCTTTCATCTGCCTTTCCAAGTGATATCAAGTGCCAGCATGCTGTCCCTTGGCCTTATCAGTGACAGGGGCTTCAGAAGGAACAAGCCCATTAACGCTAAGTCATTGCGGATGAGGGATAGGTCAGTCACCTCAGCAAGCAGTTGATGACCTTCCTCCTGTGCTCCTGTCCCAACTGACATTGCTTAGGAAGAGTTCCTGAGATCTAATTAAGATCCATCCATCTCCCTGCTCTGTCCCAGCGCCCTGTAAGGACTGCCAAGCCATAATGAAAGTTCTCTTACTGAAAGACACCAAGGAGGATGACTGTGGCCAAGATCCGTACATCAGGGTAAGTGCCTGAGGTTCTGGGTCCCGCCCAGCACCACACTGTCTTCCTAAGGAAGCTAAGGGGGGCGGGGGGGAGGCGGGGGTGGTCTGCGAACCCTCTGAGGAGCTGACACAGACCCTGTGACCCTTTTCCTTACTTTCCAAACAACCCTAGCCAACCCGGAACTGTATTGTATTTGCAGGAATTGGGGTTACATGGACTCGAAGCCACTCTGATCCCTGTTTTATCATTTGAGTTTTTGTCTCTTCCCAGTTTTTCTGAGAAGGTAAGGTCTGTCGGTGTCTGAGTACCGTAATTTCTGAGTCTAGAACCCTTGCCAACCCGAGCTGGAAGGATTTCTACACTGCTCCCTCGTTTTACTACCAGACTTGCAGACAAGGGCAGCGTAGCCTCCCCAGGCTCCAGTGCACGGGGCTGTGAGTCTGTCCCTGTGACAGTCCCCAGCTCCTCCAGGAAGCCACCCTGATCTGAAGGCGGGGTCTGGGGAGGGGGCTCCCAGCCGTGCAGTCCTTTCCAGTGTGTCCTCCGGTTCACCCACCTGTCCTGACCACGCACTTCACTATTTTAGAGGCCCCAGGTGGGGCCGCTGGGGTGAGACCGTTGCTCCCCCACAGCGTCAGGTCTGCCGCCAGGGGGAACGGGGATCCATCCTGCCGGACACAATCTCAGTAAAGCCTTCCAGATGTTTGCCATCAAAGCTTCAGTGCTCAGGCAGCCCTCACCGGCGAGCACCCCGTCCCAAGAGGGAAGCACCTTCAGGGCATCTTCCAGGAGCCCCGTTCTAGACACATGGGGAAGAGCCAGCTGGTTTCATGGACTAGGGGTGCCCAGCCATGCTCCGGGGCTCCGTGCCACCGTTAGCACCAGGTTCACCCCTCCTGCTCTTTATGGAAAGCCTGTGTTTTCCTTTGTTTGGGGACAAATACTACACGATTCCTTCAATAATGTGCCCGGCAGACACTGGTCCGGCACCTTTTAATGCCCCATGCGCTGGGCTGTGTGCCGAGGGAACGAGGTTAAGAAGGACCCAGACCCATGTGCCCTTCCAGTAGCAGCCCTGAAAGGCCTCAGAGATCTCATCACTTGAGATTGCTTCTTGGACCTCGTGGCCACACAGATACTGGAGTTCCCACAGGAGCCTCTCCCATCACCGCCAGCCAGCGTGGCCCCTGAGGGCTTTTCTGGACTCTTGTCTAGCTCCCTATGCTGCAGTGAGTTGGGGCACAAGGCACGTGTTTGAGTCCTGGCCCTGCCTCTCACCATGGGCCAGTTCCTCAGCCTCTCCAAGCCCAAGTCTTCATCAATGAGAGGACAGGAACCTCACATATCTCCCAGGGAACTTAGAGTGAGGGACACAATACGTAAAAAGAGCAATGTTTGGTAAATGTCACTGTTACCATCTTTGAAAATCAAGGCTTCAACATGGATATTGCCCCTTGAAGAGTGCAGTGGTTTTTTAAAAGATGTATTTATTTCCCTAGAGAGAAAAGGAGGGAGAAAACATGAAGGGAAAGAGGAGGCAGAGCGAGAGAGAATTCTCTAAGCCGACTCCCTTCTGAGCACGAAGCCCGATGCCAGGCTCACTCCAGGACCCTGGGCCAAAGTCAAGAGCAGGCAGCTTACCCAACCAAACCACCCCAGCGCCCCTTGAAGGTTCCAGCTTTAGTACGGATGCAGATCCAGTCTGCCCTCCTGCCTGCACCCCACCCAAGCCCCGGCTGGGTCAGATGGCCCCCCTCTCTGCTCCTGCTACACTCCCATTCTGCATGCTCTTTCCTAGCTCTCCCCTTGACTGTGAGCTGCTTGAGAGAAATGCCATGAACAGTGAGTTCATCTGCGCACCCTGAAAGGCCTAGAATACTTCCCGGCATATAGTCAGCTCCCGGCAGGTGACGATGGAAGAGTGGGTGGATGGATAAACGATGCATGGATGGATAGAAGGAATTAGTTTTGTGAAGCATTTGCAAATCTGGAAAATGTTGAACTTGGCCATTGTGTAAAATGTCTCTGTTGCGGTTTGGTGCACAGCTGTCTCATCCTGAAGGCTATGGAGGACTCATTTTTACCAGCCCCAGAGCAGTGGAAGCAGTGGAGCTGTGTTTGGAGAAAGGCAATAAAACGGAAGGTGAGGGGACTCTCCTGAATTCCCCTGGACCTTCTTTACTCTGATTCTCCTGAGCGGGGAGGCCAGATTCCAGAAATAGATTGTTCAGGTTTGAAACATCTCCGTGACTTTCAGCTCAAAACAGTATTTACGTACCAGGCTAGTTCATGTTTGTGTAACCTTTGGAGGAAGCAGAAAATGGCCTCTCTCCTTATAAACAGACTCTGAATGTCCCACACAGAATGACAGGTTAGCCTCGTGGTCTCTGACCAGAGCAGGCACCTGGTGGTATCACATCACAGATGCTGCCTTGGGAAACAGAAGATAGGGCAGCCCCCCAAAGTCCCCAGACCCTGAGGGATTCATCTACCGGTGGTCATTTCTCTCCTCAGAATCTCTTCTGAGATGATCTCTTGATCTCTTCAAAGAGATGATGAGAAAATCCAAGCACATCAAAAAAATGGCTGGTGCCATGCCAGGCACTCAATGACATGATCATCTCAGTCCCTTTTTCCCACCTCCTCCCTCCCTCCCCCATCAAAACACAGGAACAGAGCCCAGGCTTCAGACTGAACAACCACTTTAGTCTTTCAATCAAATAGCTTCTTTGCTAACATTTACGGAGTGCCTAATGTATGCCAGGCTCTGTTAAATACTTTACATTCGGCACCTCATGTATTCCTGGACCGCTGGCCAGAGGCATGCTTACTGTGGTCATCATGTCAGGTGTAGAGATTACTTTAAAAAAATACAAATCTTTAAAAATTAATTAATTAATTAATTAATAAAATTAAATTTCCCGTGGGAGTGTAAAGGGTAGCGTAACACTTAAATGTTCGGGAAAGTTACGCTCCTAATCGGATTGTAGGAACAGAGAACTTGTGTGTCCTTGTCTTCTCCAACAGTAGTGAACACCCGGTGGCCTCAGCGTGTATTCATCCAGCTCATTTTCTCTTTGTATATCTTTAATCCACAGTTAAAGCTGTTTGTTTTTGCCCTAAAATCGTAATGTTCTCAGTTAAATTGTGTTTGCTCACGAACCGGAAAGTTATGGTCTTTACTTTGACTTAATGTACACATCCGAGATTATAGTTTCTTGACTGCTTTCAAATACATGTCCCGAATAAAACCAGTTGTGTTGCTCTATTAGACACTAAATTGCTATTTTTATTTTTATTTTTTTAATTTATTTTTAAATAAATAAATTTATTTATTTGACAGAGAGAGATCGCAAGTAGGCAGAGAGGCAGGCAGAGAGGGAGAAGTTAGGTCTCCGCTCAGCAGAGAGTCCAACGTGGGGCTCGATCCCAGGACCCCGAGATCATGGCCTGAGCCGAAGGCAGAGGCTCAACCCACTGAGCCACCGTGGCACCCCTAGGTTGCTATTTTTAAAGACCAGTGACTTTTTCTTTAAAAGTCTGTATTTTTAGGGGCACCTGGGTGGCACAGTTGGAAGAGTGTGTGACTTTTTTTTAAAGATCTTACTTATTTATTTTACGGGGGTGGGGTGGAGGGAGGGGCAGAGGGAAAGGAGAGAGAGAATCTCAAGCAGACTTCCCATGGAGCTCCACACAGGGCTCGACCCCACGACCCCAAGATCATGACCCGAGCCAAAACCAAGAGTTGGACACTTAACCAACTGAGCCACCCAGGTACCCCAGGCTTGCAACTTTTGATCTTGGGGTCGTGAGTTCAAGCCCCATGTTGGGTGTAGAGATTACTAAAAAAGAAAAAAAAAATTAATAGAAGTTTACATTTTTTAACTTTAATGTCACCCTACATATTCTTTCTTCAAGATATGTTTATTTTCTGGTACATACTAAAAGTGCTTCTAGTACAACTGTGGAAAAGAATTAATATTCTAAGCAAGGCATACTGAAACATTTATGAAGTGATTTTTTAGAAATTTGCCGAATATGAACAGAACAAAAATGGATTTTTAGTTCAAGACGCTGTTCTTTATACGTGGTTATTAATAGTTTGCCTTGTTCACAAGTGTCTTAGGATGAACAAGGAGCTCTGGGCAGCAGTCCAGATGGCCACTGTGCTGTTTGCTGCTCACATCTAATTCTATGTTTTACAGTCTGGAAACATTCTCTGAGAGAAAAATGGAATGCTAAGTCAGTGTATGTGGTCGGAAATGCTACTTCTTCTCTAGGTAAGCAATCAAGGTAAAGATAAAACACCAAAAAAATGACTGTGATGTTATGATTTGTAATAAAAATGTGTATTTGGCTTTGTCCCTGTCCCTGGGACAAATCTCCTTTATAAACCCTTGGAATTTGCTACATGATAAGAAAGATGAAGTTGCCCTCCTTTTTTTTGGAAAGCTTTACTTTTTTGAGAGAGAGAGAGCTTTCACTGTACCCTTACCAGCAGCATATTTAACTAATTATTCGTAAATATAATAAGCAAAATATCATATTTTAAACTATAGTTTGTTTGTTTTTTTAAACAAACAAGGTTAAGTCATTGGGGAATGAAAAACTATTTTTCTTCTTTTAGTCTCTGTTATTACCATAGTCACCCTTCTGTATTCTGGTTAACAAATGTGGGTTGGATTGGGTCATTTGCTCCCAGAATCAGGCACATGGTTTACTAACTATTACCTGTTTGTTATAAAGGATATTTCAAAGGATAGGAATGAACAACAGATGGAAGAGACACCTAGAGTAAGGTGGGGGGCGGGAAGAGGTGCACTTCCACACCCCCTCCAGGTGCACTGCCTTCCCAGCATCTCTCTGTCGCACCATTTGGGTTTTTATGAAGGATTCATTACATAGGCATGATTGATTAAGTTATTGGTCATTGGTGATTAATTCAACCTCCAGCCCCACTCTTCTCCTTGGAGGCAAGAGACTACCCTCTCTAATCACAAGGTTGGTTCCCCTGGCAACAAGCCCCCTTCCTTCAGGGCTTTCCAAACACCACCATTAATATAAACTCAGGTGTAATGGAAAGAGATCTATTATGAATAACAAGAGGCAATTTTAGAGTCTCCGGGTGGCTCATTTGGTTAAGGGTCTGACTCTTGATTTCAGCTCAGGTCATGATCTCAGGGACCTGGTCTCAGGTCCAGGTCATGATCAAGTCCCCAGTCGTGCTCTGCACTCAGCAGGGAGTCTGCTGGAGGATTTCTCTCCCTCTCCTTCTGCCTCTCCTGCTTGTCCTGGTAAAGGTATAATGAGACAAATATATTCAAATATTGCTAAATGGCATTAGAAATTGGGTCATATATTTTCAGAAATACTTGTTCATATGTATTCAGAAGTTCTATTACATTGGTGCCAGGCTGGCTCAGTCAGTAGAGCATGCGATGCTTGATCTCAGGGTTGTGAGTTCAAGCCCCACGTTGGCCATAGAGATTACTTTAAAAAATAAATAAAATCTTTTAAAAATAAAAAAATAAAAAATAAGGCTCTATTACAAGCTTTGTACCCTCTGGCCCACTAATCCCTTTCCTGATAATCTAGCCAAAGGTAATAATCCAAAACAGGAGAAAAGAATCGGTTTTTATATGCGAATGTATATTATAGCATTATTTATAATCATGGAAAAAGGAGAGCCCCCAATAGGGGAATAGTTAAATAAATTATGATGCATCTATATGATGATTATGTAGTTTTTTCTTTTATATACTTTTCATTTTGAAGGAAATTTACAGAAAACTTAAGTTACAATACAAAGAACTCAGTCTTTCCTGGACCCCTGGAGAGTAAGTTGCCAACGTGATGTCCCACCAACCCCAAGTAGTTGAATGCAGGTTCCCTACAAACAAGCACATTGCCCTGTATCGCTGCAACTTTCACATTCCAGAAATTAACATGCACATGCTAGTACCTCTTACTTCTCCGTAATGTCCATCGTGGCGGAAGGACGGCATTCAGAATCCTGTCTTGCCTTCGTCGGCATGTCTAGTTAGTTTCCTGAAGGCCAGAAAGGTGCCTCTGTTTGTCTTTGGCTTCGTGACCTTGACACTGGCCAGCTGTTTATAGACGGTCTCCTAATTTAGTGTGTGGGCCTGGTGTCCATTTCCACTATGAGAAACATTTCTGTCTTCTCTTTGCTTCAACTGTTCCATTCTCCTGACCTGATGTGCAGCTTTTGGGAGGAGCCAGAGGCAGCTCTCGGGCCAGAGGGCTCCTGCAAGACGGCCCCTGGTGACCTCAGTGCTCCCACCACTGTGACATCCCCATCTCTTGAGCTGCGAGTTGCTTGACTAATGAAGAGCCGGTGGGTCGCTTTTCAACACAGCTTGTAGCTCGGGGCTCTGCAGACCAGTGAAGAGGGGATCGGGCCTTGGTTACCAAGGAAACCACCCCCACTCTCCCATCCCCTCCCCAGATCAGTTAAGAATTTGTTTACACCTTCCTTTCACTGTTCCTTTTTTTCTGAAGTAGAAGAGGAAAGAAAATTCTCGTGGCAACTTTGGACTTACACATCACTTCAGCTCTCAAACACGGCATGTTTGTAAATGGTCCTGTTCTGCTCACGCCACCTTCAGTCTCATCTCAGTGGCACCCCTGTGCAGGCTGCATCTCATTGTTCTGTCAAATGAGAAGAAAATCCAAGAGCAAAAGTGGGGATACGGGATGAGAAACCCGGGACAGAGCCAGCTAGTGTGGGCCGGCCTCCGTGTGCTCCAGATGGCAGAGCCTGGTCCCATGGGATCCCCCCTCTCTTGGGAGAGAGATGCTCAGCTGGCTCAGCTGGGACCCACACTGCTGTGTGATTAAAAGTAATTAAAAGTAATCTCTATTACTTTTTAAAAATAAAAGGGAAGAACAATCTCTTAGGAGAAACCACATTCTATCTTAACATGAAAGTCAGTCACCCAACTTTGGAAACTTCTAAGTTCACCTTCCCAGACATGGTGTCCCAGAGGACTTCTCTCTAGTGAACTGCTGGATGCTTCTGTTCATCCCAAGGCCCAGCAAGCGTGTGGAGAGTGAGAGGAATTTGAACATGGACAGCCGGAGGAGTCCTGAGTCCAAGCATTAGTCATCTTCTGCTGCATAACAATTGCCCAAAACTTAGTGGCCAGAAACAATAAGCATTTGATTTCTTACAGTTTCTGCAAGTCCACAGTCTGGGAATGGCTAAGTTGGGTCCATCTGGCTCGGGGTCTCTCACCAGGCTGCAGATATATCAAGGCTTGACTTGGGGGTTCTGCTTCCAAGACCACACATATGGCTCCACTTCCCAGCCCTCACGTGGCCCTCTCTGAGGGCTGCCTTAGGACACGGCAGCAGGATTCCCCTAGTATAAGACAACCCAAGAGCCAGCACAAGAGAGCCTCCGGGCCAGAAACCAGTCTTTTCATCGTCTAATCTTGGGAGTGACATCCCATCACTTCCACCATCTTTCTTTTGTTTGAATACAGCCAGTCCAGCCTCGCTCAAGGGATGGGGATGTCACAGTGGTGGGAGCACCGAGGTCACCAGGGGCCATCTTGCAGGAGCCCTCTGGCCCGAGAGCTGCCTCTGGCTCCCTCCAGAAGCTGCACATCAGGTCAGGAGAATGGAACAGTTGAAGCAAAGAGAAGATACAAATGTTTCTCATAGTGGAAATGGAAACTTGGCCCAAGCTAGTGGTCTTGATGTCAAAGTCCATCAAGATTTATTTACTTTAGAGAGATAGAGTGAGTGCACTCGAGAGAGCGAGTGGACGGAGGGGCAGAGGAAGAGAATCTTCAGGCTGACTCTCTGCTGAGCGAGGAGTCCGACCCAGGGTTCGATCCCGGGACCCATGAGCCAAAACTCCAGAGCTGGATCCTCGCCCGACAGCCACTCAGGCAGCCCATAAACCATACCTAATTTTTGAGTATTTTTCATTGCTTCATTTTCCCATGAATTCTGGGAGAATACTGAGATCATCTGTGTCTATAACCTTAATGTGTCTTCACATCCCACCTGTTGATTCTTATGATTTGCCTTTGCACTAAGCATTTTCTTTTAAGATTTCATTTATTTGTGAGAGAGAGAGAGAGAGAGCAAGTGCACAAGCAGGGGGAGCAGCAGGCAGAGGGAGAAGCAGACTCCCTGCTGAGCAAGGAGCCAGGAGCCTGACGCAGGGCTCCATCCCAGGACCCTGGGATCATGACCTGAGCAAACGCTTGACCGTCTGAAGCCCCCAGGCGCCCTGAACTAAGAACTTTCCTCCCCTTGAGACAACCGCACGGTACCTTCGAGCATAGGCGTCCACCAGCAGGGGGGCTCACCCCAGGTTTACCTGAGCTCCCGAGTGGGCCCACCATGGCAGTCCTTGCCTTAAGCTCTTAAATGTAAAGAACACGATGGCAGATTTGTCTGGGGGCAGACTGGTTTGTTTCACGGGTGTGAGTCACTTGACGCTCCCCTGTCACCACGGCCTGGGGAGTCCCCGGAGGCGGGCTTGCCTGCTCCCGAGGCCCTGGGCTGAAACCTGGCACCTGCTTAGAGCAGAGCCAGCCTTGCTGCCACAGGGGTGGAGACCTTCCTGCGAACATCCCTCCCTGACCTCTACTGAGAGCCTCTGCGGGCTGTGGGCGGCCACACAGCCAGGCCCTGTCCTCGAAGACGGAGCTGACAGGCGCTGGCCGGCTCGGGGCTCTGCTCCCTGCTCTCAGGAGCCCTCGGCCCCGAGTCATTGTGGGGACGAACATTTGCGCCAGGGCTCCCTGGGAACAGGGCGCGAGACTCTCGGTGTGGCTCCTCCCGTCTAGTCGCCGCACGAACCGGATGGGCGAGCCGACAGTAAAGAGCGACATCACTGCAGTCTTAGGTCCCAGTTCCATCCTGGGGGGTCTTCAGGGTTGTGGTGTACTGAGACCCTCCCAGTCCAGTCAGAGGAGGGGCGGCCCGGCCGGGGCGGCTGTGCAGTGTAAGCAGGGCTTTGTTCCAGAACAAAGTTTACGGCGGCATGTGACTTTTGACTCTTGGGCTCGGGACACTAGCAATGCCCTGTAAATGAAAAGCTGACGGTGTTGACGTGAGAGCTGCGGTTTGTTATTAGCTGGCGGGTCTCACGTGAATCCTAAAGAGAATGGCCACAGCCCCACCTCCGTCAGGGGGTGCCGCAGCCCGTGGACAGGTGGCGAGCGCGGACGGCGCAGGGGCCGCGGCCCTTCCTCCCTCGGCATCGTCTGCGGACGGGCCAGCATCTCCCGTGTGGAAGAGTGCACAGGGCCCTGGGGTGGGGGGGCTGCTCCTGCCACGCTCCTTGATGGAAGCTGCTCACCCCTCAGCCCAGAAGGCCCATAGTTGCGGTGCTGGAGGTCTTTGTTGGCAGGATCCCGTGGAACCTCTCCTGCCCTCCGTTCCATTTCAGTCTGGCCACGTCAGCCCACAACACCCTTCTGGACGGGGCTGGCCTCATCTCCCCGACAGAACCAGGGCCCTCGCATGCCCTGTGAGACGTAGCAAATCCCAAATGCTCGCCACTCCTCACTGGCCGATAAGAAAGCCGCCTTTCTTCAGCTCCCCCTGGATGGCCAGGATTCGCTCTCGTCATCTTGTAAAATCTTTAAAGCAGTCCCCTGTGGCTGGTGTCCTCCCCTCGTGTAGATGAGCTCAGTGGGGCTCGGAGAAATGGGCGCATGACCCAAAGTCACACATCTAGGAAGGGTGGGCCCAGGGCCCAGCACCCTCACGTTGGACACGTGCCTGCCATCATCCCATACCAGCCTTCAGGAGGAGACGTTCCTGTGCATTTGCACATTAGCAAGCAACCCAGGAAGGGAGGTCTTTAAGGAAAACACTTTTCTTTTGTTGTTTTTCAGTGAAGAAAATCGGCCTGGACACAGAAGGAGCAAACTCTGGAAATGCAGAAAAGCTTGCAGAATACATCTGTTCCCGTAAGTAGAAAAAGGTCACCCCAAGTGACACCCATTTACTCTTTGTTCGTTGGCCTCACCCCCCTCCCACCCCGGGAGAGCAACATTTTCTGGGCACGTTCTCCATGGTGACGCTGGTTGGTGCACAGTGTGCAGTTTGCTTGTGGGACCACAGGCTCCTTTTCCTGTGTGTGTCTGTGTTGCTGGAATTCAGCCCGCCTCTCTCTGCCCCCTCCACCAGAGGACTGGAGACAACTGGAACATGACACAAATGAAACATTCAGAGACAAATCCCAGGAGACTATCTGCAGTGATGATGACAGGAGTGGAGGCGGGCTCTTGCCACTGGGAACCTTCCCTGAGTCTGTGTCTGCTCCTTGCCTACCCCCCCACCGGCTCCTCTCAGGGGCCATCTCCTTCTCCAAGCAGCCCACTCCCTGGGAGCACGTCCCTGGGCAGCATGTGGCCCCAGACCTGAGATGGCACTAGTGTAGAGGGGTCTGCCTTTCAGTGGGGTGCCAGGCTTGATGGAAGCAAAGATGTGGGGGAGCTCTTAGAGCGAGAGGCACAGGAGGGCCAGAGGGGTTCCAGCAGAGCGGTCCTCCTTGCTTGTATCTCCCATCCTCTCTCCGCCAGGGCTAACCCGGTGGCAGACACTCGCTCTTGCGTCCTCTCGCCCCTGCCCATCGGTAAAAGTGAGTCGAATGATCACCGCCCCATCACGGGCTGTTCACGAGGTATTGGATACTCAGAGATGAAACACACACGATGCCAGCATATGCCGGGCTCCAGATGGCCCCCTGCCCGTCCCACAGCACTCAACAGACATGCCTTCCCACTGCTGCTTCTGCCCCTGCAGAGTGTCCAGGGCTGCGGTGGAGGCTGCTGGCGGGCAGTGGGGCAGGGCAGCTGGAGGGAAGGTGCTCCCTGCCCCTCTGGTCACAACCACTACTATGTCCCAGCCCAGCTCTTTGCTTTAGTTGGCTGAAGTCTCTCATGTTTTGAAAAATGCTCTTCTTACTGAGGGGGTGTGTTTCGGAGACCTTCCAAAGCCCCAGGGACGAAGGAGGTGAGCCCTAATGCAGTGACCCTCTGGGCCCTATCCTGGCCGAAGCAGGTGCTGGCCTGGGCTGGAGTGGAGGATCGAGTCGAGTACCCAGCACTGTGTTCCCATCCCAGGGCAGCACTGCTGGGCCTCCTGTCCCGGCTCTTGTGTCCACCACTTCACGTGAGCTGCAGGGCCTTGGGGGCTCTTCAGCAGGACAGTCGCCTGGCCCACAACTCTAGTGGCCAGTTCTGTGGCGCTCTGGCCGGCCACCGTGGCTCCCAGCACACTCGTTACCCCCTTCCTGCATGGCCGTCTCTGCTCAGCCCTCCTGTCAGTGCTACCAACAGAGACTCTGTCCTTCACGAAGGCTCCCATGTGACAGGGACGCCACAGGCTGCGTTCCTTCCACATCCGCTGTCCTGGAGACCGTGGCCCTCCTGTGGCCACCCCCACCACACACATGCCCTTTGTGCCTCACCTTGTCGCTTAACCCACTCCTGCCTCATGGCCTGGCACACAGGTGTCCCCACGCCGTGTTTGCTGAGCACTGTTCAGCTGTTCTAGTGGGACAGGAGGGCATGGGGGGTGAGGCAAGAGAGGGCTTGGTCCCTGCCAACAGGCCTAGCCAAGCTGAGCGGCCATTTTCCTGAACGTCAGCCCAGGCCTGCCAGGAGCGCACTACCATGCAGCCAGGCGTCAAAAGCTGCTGAGAAGCCACAGGCGGTTATGCCAGGGTCCAGGGGTGAGCACGGTCCCGGGAGCCTCACGGTCCTTGGGCCCATTGGACTCTTTTGAGGATCACCAAGCCTCAGCTCTTCCAGGGCGAGAGCAACATCATGTGATTGGGTTTTCCCCAGCAGTTCATGGTGTGGGATGCCTGTGTTCCAGAATGCTCCAACGCCAGGCTCTTTATTTCTGATGTTCTTAGGAGAGAATGGTCACCATCAAACAGTAACAAAGCCATTCTGTTTTAAAGTAGAAATCAATGTAAATGGTGGAGCTTGGCATTCCCCGGGGCATTAAGTGCATCCTTGGCTCAGGAAGATGAATGACTGGTTCCACGGGTGGGACGGCATTTAGCTCTGTCTCCAGGGTAGATGACCAGGCTGCGCTCACCACTAACGCACGAGTTCTAGAAAGAGATGGAAGGAAACGGAGTCGTTCCTCACTCTCAGGTCCAGAGGCGCCATGCTCTGCACACACAAGCAGGAAGGATCCGAGTCGTTCCGAGATATCACACTGGTGTTTCCATTAATGGACTCAAGGCTTCGAGGGGAGATAGGGATGCACTCTGCCTTATCTCCGCAGACACCGGGCTGCATCCTTTGCGAAGCCTTTGTTTCTTTTTTTCATTCGTAACCAGCACGCCCGTGTGTCCTAATAAATCTTCCGTCGCAGTTAGAATATCCAAATACGAATCCTTCTTGACTGCTAATAGGGAATTCCACCGTGGTTTTACCAAGGCCTTAATGATTTTCTCCCCCAGCAAGCTCTGAAACTGGACTTTAAAAGCTAAAAATCTACTTCCAGTGTTTGCGGTCAACAGGCCAATTCGTAGTTACTGCTTCTCTCTTTTACTTAACGCTTTTTACTACGTGTCAGGTGCCACTGCAGGCTCATAAAACTATTAACCCATTTAGCTCGTTGTTCTGGCAGAAAATTCTCTCCTTCCAGGAGAAATGCTCTTATGGAAAAGCGAGCAGCAAATAAATGGTAGAAGGGGGCATTACAGCATTCTGCAAGAGAGGGGGTGCGCCTGAGTCAGGCAAAGGGGCGTGCGGTTATCTGAACTGTCCCTGGCTCGGAGGGGATTGGTTAGTTCGATCAAAATGTTCACAGTTGGGGAGGCTTTGCCCATCGGTTTTGTTGGATGGTAATGTCTCAGGTCAGAGCTCAGACCGCATGCCGTCTTCATTCTGCAGAGAGCCTGGAGCTGGACGCACCCTTAGGTCTTCCTAGAGTGGAGACGGGGAGCTGGGTGGGAGGCAGGGCCCTTCTCAGCAGGCCGGGTCCCTCCACAGCCACCCATCCGCCCTGTGGGCACTTAGCCGGGTGGCCACCATCCTGAGGGGACAGTAGGCAGGGAGCTCGTCTCTGTCTGGGAATGGCTGCCCAGCCATGTGTAGCTGCGGTTTCCCTGCCGCCTTGTGAGCGTGGGCCCTGGCTTCTGACTCCAGCCAGGTGCAGAGCGGCATGCTAGCTCGTGCCTGCCGCCCGGCGCCGCATCAGAACCAGAGGGGCTGGAGGGGCCCGGGGAACAGCGGCCCCGACATGTGGGGATCCCCATTTTCTGAGCTCCGTGGCCGAATCCTCTGCGATCTTCCTATAGCAAGGTCAGCTTCTTCCCTCCCACTCACAGTCACCGGGTGGGCGGGAGCTGCTGCTCCCTGTGTCCCGGGCACGTGCACCCCCTTCCTGAAAGGGTTAACAAAGTCTGGTTCTTTATCCACAGGGGAGTCACCAGCATTGCCCCTTCTGTTTCCCTGTGGAACCGTCAAAGGAGAAATCCTGCCGAAAATGCTCAAGGACAGAGGTGACGACAGTGCATTGGCTTGTGGGCACAGCCCCCCGGTCTGCCCCCTCAGGGCTGCCAGGAGCCTCCGCGGTCCGCATTCAGGGTTGGCTGTCTGGAGCCCCCAGGGGAGGGTGGGCCGCCCCTTATGGTCATGTTCGGTGTGGGGTGCAGGCTGCTGTCCTGACTGTAGCTAGGAGCCCGCAGGGTGTCACAGCCTTCGCCAAGAGTATGGGTAGTGCTGGTGCGGACGGACCCTGGGGCAGGTCCCCGTACAGAGGACAGTCTCAGGAGGGAGCCCAGTGTTCACAGTGGAACGAAGCCTGTTTTCTGCTTTTGATTGTGCCCAGGGATCCCCATGGAAAGCATAACTGTCTATCAGAAGATCCCACACCCAGGAATCCAAGTGAACCTCAACAGCTACTATTCTAAGCAGGTGGGTGGTGCTTGCAGGGGGAGTTCCATGCGAGGGGGTGGGGGGTTGGGGGGGGCAGGCACCTGAGTGGTGGAGGCCTAGGGACAAGAGGCCCAAACCCCTGTGCATGGTCCCACCATCCCCAGTTGCATGACTTCCCAAGGCTCCATCTCTGTATCTGCGAAATGGGAACAGATCTCTCCTGTAAGGTTTCTAGAAGGATGAAAGGAGATAATATGCATAAAGCCCTGTGGATTCCACCCCAGACCTAGTGGGCCTGGGCAGCTAGGGGCCCTCATGCGACTGTCCATTGTGTGGGGCACTGGGGGAGCCGCAAGGGCAGAGGCTAGGAGGGGAGGCGGGGCCCATACTGGGAAGGCCCACAGTGCCCACCGAGGGGTCTGCACTGAATTTGGGAAGCCACAGGGGCCTCTGGAGGCTTCAGGCAGGATGGTGGGTGGTGCCTGTTCTAGGCTTTTCCACATCTGTACTCAGTGGGCTGCCTCCCCTCCCTCTCCCAGGACAGGCTTCCGAATGGCTTGCTGGCTCTGGAAGTCCCGTAGTACAGACCAAAACAGAAAGGCTGTGCAGCCAGTGCGCCTTCTGTCTCCTGAGAAGGGATGCAGAGCTGACAGGGAGCGGGCCTGGACTGCCATCTCACTCATCAGGGCCACTCTGGCCATGTGAGCTTGTGGCACCGTCTGCTCGGCTGGGCATGGGGGTCCACGGTTGCCATGTCCTCTGGACAGACAGACCTGTGGGCCAGCAGAGCGATGAGGAGCAGCACCCAGCCTCCCCAAAGGCACCCTGCCCTCTAAATGGTGCCTCACCTGAACTTGGCTTTGGCCTAGGGAGCAGAGGCGGCCGCGGCCACCAGGTACCTTCCTGCTGTGACTCTGTGGGGCCTGCCTCCTGGGGCTCCAGGGCTGATGGCACCTGGCTAGAAGAACCAGGGGAACGTTCTCTCTTCTTGGCCCATGCTGACAGACTGGTCTTGGGCTCCCCATGCAGGGCGTTCCGGCCAGCATCACGTTCTTCAGTCCCTCCGGCCTTACATACAGCCTCAGGCACATTCAAGAGTTATCTGGTGACAGCATCCATCGAATTAAGGTGAGGTATTCAGTGGGCTTTTGGTCTTTTCAGATTTTTTAAAATTCTTGCCAATTATCCTAGAGTTTCCGTGTAAAGTCAGAGCACTCCTGACCTAGCAGATACCATGATGTCCGCTCGTAGCCCTGGAACGGCCGGGCTCTAGAATTCTCCAGCACCACTTCCTGGCTGGTGCTCTTGGACAAGTTACTTAATCTCTCTGAGCCTGTTTCCTCATTTGTACCATGAGGACGATGATTCCTCTGTGGCCTTTAGAGACACGCAGTCACACTGTATCTGCGGGGGATAAGACCTCCGGGTGGATGTCTGAAACCACAACTACTACCCAGTCCTGACAGAGTGTGTTCTTTCCTATACATACATCCCTGTGATGAAGTTTAATTTCTACATTAGGCCCCGTCCGAGATTAACAACCACTAACAATAAAGCCGTTACAGCAGTGTCTTGTGATCACAGTGACGTGAACTCTCAGGACGCCTTGCTGTGGTGCACGCACCCTCCTCCAGAGATATGAGATGGGAATGTGACTCCGTGACGAGACAAGGGGAGGGGGGTGATGGAGGCAAGTGACGCAGCGTGAGGCTGGGCTGGACTGCGGTTGACTGCGGGGAACTGGCAGTGTGGACAGTGAAACCGCGAGTAAGGGGGCAGGGGCTGCTCAGGGAGCTGCAGTCAGGGGGGGCTGCTGTCTGTGGTCTTCTCCGACAGAGGAGTCTCAGGACCGGATGAGAATTCGGGCCAGTCCTTGGCCAGAACCTGGCACGCGTCCTAACATCCTTTCCCTGGTTTCCCATTGAAACATCTTGGCTTTATCTATTCTAAAAGCCATTCCCTCTTTTCATGTCTTTTAATTCAAAAGCTTGACATACCCCTTGTGAGGGACCCCATTTGCTGAGCGTCTCAAGTATCGACGAGGCTTCTGGGGCCTGTGACGGGAAGGTTCTTGAACTGGCTGCAGTGGGACCGAGGAGAGGGCGGAGGACGGGCCGCCAGCACGCGTGTCCTCATACACAGTGAACGCCCTTGGCTTTTACTCCGGCCTGCGGACTCAGCGCCGGCTCCCGGTTCTGCAGGGGGTACTGGGCCCAGAGCAGTTGTGTGTCTTGCCCTAAATCTCACGGGAGGAAGGGATTTGAACCCAGGAAGACGGGTGCCACGTTGTTAGCCGTGGTGACACCTGAGCCATGGCCAGCTGATGGAACATTTCCGGGCAGTCTCTTGTAGAATGCGCCCACCGGTCCAGTGGTAGGAATCAGGCAAAACTGGGACCACTATCCTGACCACAGGTGAAGCAGCTCAGGCCCTGAGAGGTTAAATGACGGGAGAGGAGACGCTCAGGGTTGGAAAGATTGAGAAGATTAGAACCTGACGTGCTCAGGAAGTTAGTGACCGGCCCATAGTCCGCCCTTTCCTCCCTGGAGGCTGGGAGAAGCTGGGGTGCTCGGCTGCCCCCAGTTCTCGCCGCTGTGACGGGCCCGGCAGCCTGGTAACCGCAGTCTCCACAGAGCTGCTCTCTGGGCTCTCAGGACTGCCTTCCTCTGCTTATCAGCGTGGTGCTTTCGAGGCTCCCCCGGGCTGTGGCCTTTCAGGACTTTGCTTCTTTTTGTGGCCGTGGGAGAGTCCGCGCTGGGGCCACAGCACTACGTCTTCATCTGCTCCTCGGCGACGGGCACTGGCGCCGGGTCTGCTCCCGGGCAAGCAGGAGTGATGCTGGGCACCTGACTACAGTTTTGAAGCGGACACGTATTTCCATTTCTCTTGAGCATGAACTAAGGAGGGGAATTGCTGGGCCGCACGGTCACTTTAGGTCTAACTTTGGTAATTTTGAAGAATTAGTGTCTTCCCGAGTGGCTGTAGCTCTCCATTTCCACACCAGCCGTGTGGGAAGGTTCTGGTTCCTCCACGTCCTTCGCAGAACTTGTCATCTTTGTCTTCACACTCAGAGCCGTCCTGGCGGCCGGTGGGTAGTTCTGACTTGGATTTCCCTACGACCTATGACGCCAAGCAGCTGTCCCCGCGTGTGCTGGCCATTCTGTTTGTCCTTGGGACAAGTGTCTGTTCATATCCTTGCCGTGTGTCTTGTGGCTGGTGCTGCTGGGCTGGGCGAGATCCAGGCTTCTCCACAGATGTACAATGTGCAGAAATTTCCCCGTCCCCTGAGTTGTGTTTTCCCCTCTGTGACGGTGTCCTCAGAAGCAGGACAGTTTTTCCATTTTGGTAAAGACGCACTTACGTGGCTTTCCCTTTGCTACTTGGGCCATGAGCAGCGGAGCTAATCCTAGGCGTGAAGACTCGCCCTGTGTTCCTTCTGTCCTTCTGTTCCTTCTCCGCTCTCACACTTAGGTCTGGGAGCCACTTCAAGTTCACGAGTGTGTCTGCTGTGAGGTGGGTCCCAGCACCATCTTTTCCTCAGGGAGTTTCTCAAGGAACAGCTGCATCATGAGGTGGAGCAGGGAGCGGGGAGCTTGGGCTTCTGGGGGCAGCAGCCTCTGTCCTGTGGCTCTGACGTGCCCCAGAAAGTGTCCTGAGATTGTTCCCTACGCCACACTTGGCCCCGGGAGGGAGGATGAAGGGGGCGCCGGGTAAGGGCTACCATCCTCCCAGACCTTCCCCCAGGCAGGGGTGCATGCACCCAGGGTTGGGGTGGGGTGACATGCGTGCTCTCCCCGCCAGAGCAAGAGGCCTTACTCCCCCCCATGCTAGCCTGCCATGCAAGGGCAGCTGTACCCCGTCTACAGGTGAGGAAACAGGGCCAGAGGGGCTAAGTGACCTGTGAGGACACCTGGGCAAGGGCTGGGGTCACCACAACGGAAAACCACATTCAGCCCCAAGCGAGGCTCTGCATGTGACCATCAAACATGCAATGTTCAGGGAGAGAGGAGTCCCGCTGACACGGCTCAGGCCACCGAGCGTCTCACTCGGAGTAACCGTGTTCCCCCGCTGAGCTCTCATCTGTGGTGGGGCTTCAGCCAGGTGCTTACTCGCACCAGCCTCTCGTGATCCTCGCAGCAGCCCCTGGGGAAGGCTGTTACCCTGTTTTACAGATGAAGGGACAGAGGCCCAGAGGTGGCAGGTCACTTGCTAGGGCCAGTGTACTGCAGGGCTAGGATGGGAACCTGACCCTCGGCTGCTGAATTTTCCTGGGGTGGGGGGGGGTGCATGGAGGGGTGCAGCCAGGGCCCCCGCCACGCCCGGAGCATCTCTTCCACTTTACTCTCTGCTCCACGTGCCCCCCCCCGCCACACCAGGGCAGAACCGTGGGCCGCTAAGGCTTGTGGAGAGGGGGCCAAGACGGTAGGAGGGGTGGCCGCACGTGAGCCCCAGCGTCCCGACTGGTCCCAGGCCCTGCCCCACTGTCCTCCTGGCCCTGCAGGTGCGCTGAAGCTCCCCATCTCTCCCCCCACAGTTTGCCGCCATCGGCCCCAGCACAGCCCGTGCGCTGACCGCCCAGGGCCTGCGTGTGAGCTGCATGGCCGAGAGCCCCACGCCGCTGGCCCTGGCCAAGGGTCTCCAGGTGGCCCTTCAGGCCCCCAGCTGCTGAGACGGTGACCATTCCCACTGCGCTGCTGTCCCCGGCCCAGGGCACCGTGCTGCTGCTGCGGGGAAGCGGCGAGCCATCAGCAGGGCCCCCACGCCTCGGCCTCGTGCCTCTGCAGGGCCCCTGGGGCTGGCGAGAGCTCCTCTGGCAGAGGCAAGAAAACCAAATAAACCGCCCGGCTCCCGGCACCGACTGTGTTGTCCCTCGCTGTGTGTTGTTTTGCACACAGAGCCATGTCCGCCCAGGAAACAGATGCACCCACGTTCCGAGAGCCGCCAGAGCCTGCAGGCACGAGAACATCTGTGTAGGAAGCAGCTTCGTTCATCTTAGAGAAGGGACCCGAAAGTTCCTGCCTGTGCGCTGTGGGCAGTTGCCTTGCCGATAAGGAGAGACCGTCTTCCCTTCCGAGCTGAAATGCAGCTGAGGCCAGGCAGGGTGTCTGCGGGGCGGGGAGGTGGGTTTACACAGAAGGCCTTTGTCTGCAAGGTGCCAGGCCTGCGGACAGGCTTGGGGACTCTGCCCACAAACTTTATTTCCACTTTTAAAATCTTGGCCTGGAACCTGAGCTGGGTAGACTACAACCCGCGTCTGTCCATTTGGTCACGTGAGCTGGTGGCAGGAAGGAGGGGTGTCTGACCTGGCAGGTGTGTCACGCTGGCAATCCTGCCTTCTCCTTCTTATTCCCCTTAACGATCTGAGGCAGGGACGCCACTATGACTCCTGTTTCTCTGGGGAAGAACCTGAGACTCGCGGCATTAAATGCCTTGCTTAGGGTCACCCAGCGAGTGAATGACCAGCCAGAATGCTCTGCAAGGTACCTGGGGACGTAAAGCACAGAGGCCCAGACTGATGGCACTCTGGAGCTGCCTCGCCTCCACGTGACCTTAGCAGAAAAATGAGGACCTGGTGATAATTAGTGGTGTGACCTCAGCGGAAGTTCTGCGGGTACCGTGATGGCCCCGTACTTTTTGTCTGCGGTCCTGTTTCTGAGGGAGGGTCAGAATCCATCCCACCGCTTCTTTCTGATCTGAAAGTCAGGTCTGGATCTGATGGGGTGTGTTTAGAATCCCTGCCGCTTCCAGGGAGCCTTTTTCTGCTGGAGTCACCTTTTCTGAGCCTGGGGAAGCACCGTGCCCCAAGCAGCCCACGCTAAGGTGGGTGCTGCCCTCCCGGCCCCACAGCTGCCACCAAGCAGTGCCCGCCAGGCCAGGCTGCTACAGCAGCATCTAGAAGCCAGCCTCAGGACAGAGTGTCATCACCGGGACCAGAGATGGCTACATGAGCCTCAGCGTCCCGAGGGCTGCGGTGGGTGCTGCTGTGTGAGGCGGTCCCCTGACCGTGTGCCTGCAGGTCAAAGCCCTGCCGGATTGCTCCCGATTATATCCCCACACTTTCACTCTGCCTCTGACCGACCTGCTGCCTGCTGTCCCCTGTATGCACATAGCCCCCGACTGCCATCATCCCTACATAGGAGGCCCCACTGAGGTGTCAGCTGGGTGAGGACAGGAACCAGCCCTCCCACAGTGGACAGGGCCTGGGCTTCTTTGCAGGGACAGAGAGTAAGTGTGGTGTCCTGAGGGTTTGGGAAGCTTGGGCTGGGGGAGCATGAAGACCAGGAGGAGGGGGTGGAGTGGAACTCTCAGAGCCCCTGTCTCCCTGACACCGGGAGGGTCACTCCTGCCATCTGAGCTGCAGTCTGCCCACCTGTCAAGAGCAGATAAGCTACCACCTCCTAGAGGTGTGCCCTGCAACTCAGAAAACTACATCTAGAGCTCCCCGAAGCTGCCTTGAGATCGGCATGGAGAGCTTATGCTGGTGGGTAGTAAGCAGTGTGTCACGTATTGTCATACATAAGCAATACTGCGCAGCATTTACTGCTCCGAGCTGAGAGGTCTGTCTGGCGGAAAGCGTTGCCAGAATGGCAAAGGCGATGTTGGGGTCATGGCCCCAACACCTAATGAGTTCTGAGTACCTGGGGATCAGAGACAGCACAGCGTTTGCCCTAGAGGGGCCTGCAAACATCCAGAGAGAGCAAAGTCAGGAAGCAGCTGAGTTCCACATAAAGAGCCTGTATTTCACACAACATGCCTGTGGCCTGGAGACAGGGGGGCAGGCCACCTCTCTGTGGACAGTTGCCAGAGCACCGCTCTCTGAGGTTCTGTCGCTGGGAGCCTGACCGCAGGGAGCTGGAGACAGCAGAGTCTCAGGATGGCCTTCTTCCAAACCAAGTCACCTGCCTTTTGTGTTGATGCCATCTATTGTCATATGTCCCTTCGGAGATTGTATAGTAAGCATTAGATTTGATTTTTCTTTCTTTTAAAGTAGGCTCCAAACCCAGCATGGAGCCCAGCATGGAGCTCGAACCCACGACTGACACCTGAGCTGAGATCAAGATCGGTCACTTCACTGAATGAGCCACTCAGTTGCCCCCAGATTTCTTTTTTTTTAAGCCCATTTCTTACAACCGCCTGGAGGTTCTCAGCTGGGCAAATCACGCTACTGATTGTACAAACCTCTCCGCCCTCCTCCCTTTCCCACTCACTTCAGTGTTCTGAACACTTTGCAGCAAAGACAGAGGACACAGCAACCGCGCGATAAGCAGTAAGCCGCAGCCAATGGCAATCATCACCTCCACGTCAGTGGCCATCGTCCAAGTGTCTCACACACGTGCGCAGAGAAGTGCGGGCGGGCGGTGACTGCGGCCTCCCTCCCCCCAGCCCCCTTGCCGCCTCGCACACGTCCTTCCGTGGGGAAGCAGGAGCCCCAAACCACAGAGCCTTCCACATGTAAGCGTGTGACGGCTCCCGGGGAGGCCTGGGGGCCAAGGCTGGCCATGGGAGAAAGGGGATTTCTTTGCAGGTGGAGAGTGACTGAAATGCAAAGTCCAGAGTGAAGGAAATCAGAAGATCCGGGAGTGGGAAGACTTTTTCTCCCATTCACGGGCAGAAGTGTGTGGCTGTAAGTCACACCCAGGCCTGCCCTTGCACAGGTGGTTTCCAAAAACCTGGGCCTTTGAGATCAATCCATATTCAGAGGCAGAACTGACCCCTCACTGTGTATCAGGCTCAGAAATCTCCCATGGGAATAATTAAGGGATAAGTCTCTTTCAAAATGTTACGCTGTGTGAAGCTGAGAATATGCAACCCCATATTGTGCAGACATGTACTTCAGGGGGGAAAAAATCTTCAGTCCTTCCACTGACAACTGGATCATGCCATCATCTCAGCATTTAAGAAGATTCTAGAAGCTTCCAGCCAAACCCTTCCCCAAGCTCAGATGAGGAGTGCCCTGCACAGACCAGGAACCAGCTTCTCTAGGAGCCCCTGTACCTCCTGTCTGTATTGTAGACCACCCGCTTTTTTTCTGCCATTTTTTCTCCTAAATCTAATTTCCTTAAAATCCAGTTTACCTGGAATAAGTGATTTAGTTAAACGGTCGGAACCTTGTGACACCAGTCAGGCTACTTAGAGGCTTTGAAATAATCAGGAGAAGAATGCTCCGAGAGAAGGGTAGACAATCCCTGGGTCCAGGTGCCCCGAGCCGGTTGGCCCCCGCAAAACACAGCAGAAAAGACCAATGTTAGGGAACAAGACCCTTCCTTCATAAAGCCCTAGTGGGTCCCCCTGCCATCTTCACAGAGAGCTGCCGTGCACGTTTAAAGACCTGACTTTCAGAAGCGCCGTCTTCTGCCAGAGCTCGCACGATGGACAGGCCCCGACTTGGTCTTTCAGACCCAGCAGAACTCAGGCTGTGTGACATCAACCCTCGGGACACCAGCACTCAACCACAGAGTTCTCAATTCTGCTCCGTGTTCGGAACATTAGCCTCCCAGGAAAGATAGTGCCTAGGTGGCATCCTGAATAATTTTGTTCTAAATCTTGTACCTGTGAAGGTTTTGGTTTCCCCAAGAGAAAACATTTAGGATTATCTTCTAATTGAAACACAGTTTGAGGGGCACCACAGCAGCTCAGTCAGTTAAGTGTCTGCCTTTGGCTTAAGTCATGATCCCAGGGTCTTGGGATGGAGCCCCATGTCGGGCTCCCTGCTCAGCGGCAAGCCTGCTTCTTCCACTCCCACTACCCCTCTCCCCTGCTCATCCTCTCTTCTCTCTTTCTCTCAAATAAATAAAATCTTTAAAAACAAAACAAAACAGACAACTCAATCATGTGGAGGGTGAATACGACCCTTAAACCTGAAAGTTGCACTTGGCTTTGGCCACACGGTGCAATAATTCTCTGTGGCCATTTATCCAGATGTACATGTCCATTGACATGCCTGCATACATGAAGTATGTTGATAAATACAGCTGACATATATACACACTGACATGATTGACACCTGTCATAGTCACATGTGTGCTTATATATATATATAAATGACACATGTGTAGGACAGGTAGGGCACAGTGGGAAGAAATTCAAGTAGGGCACTGGTTGTGGCCCGGCCCCTTTGGTCACGCGGTGCAGAGACCCTGCCAGGCCGACTCCGTGGGATGAGGGATGAGCTTCCCTGGGCCTCTCACAGGAGTCCAGGTACACAGGCTGAGCAGGTCCGGTGGGCACGTGTAGGGACCAGCAGCCCCCCAGCGCTGGGGCCAGCCCCCCTCTGGCTCTATGTAAATGTCGGGTGCCACGGTCACGTGGTAAGTACCACTGGGAGTCACTCGTCGTGCTTTTCATTTTCATTTGGTTCTATAGAAAGTATTCAGGATGTCCCTTCCAATCAAAAGGTCCCTGTGCCCCTGCTTGTGTGGCCCCTCTCACTGTCTCTCTGTCAAATCAATAAAATCTTAAATAAAATGTAATGAAAGAGGCTGGAGTTGAAAATGTGAACTCTGCCTGGGTGCACGTGATACTGTCAGATGCTGTTGCTCAGTTTTAAGGCATGATAATGGTGGTGTGCTTTGCTCTTTTTCCCCAACAGTCTATCCTGGACAGACCCATACGGACATATTTATGCACAGGATTATATAGGATGCCTGAGGCTTGCTTCTGCAGCAGGTGTGAGACTAACGATGAGAAATTACATGAGCCACACCTGTCTCCTGACAGCTGGCCTAGGTGTCCTCTCCTGCCACAGCCCCAGGAGCGACCACGGAGCACTCCCAGCCAGTGGTGCTAGTTTGGGAGCTAGGAGAGCATGTCCACAGGAGACACAGTTGGGGGTGGTGCGGTCTATGGGTCTGTGGACACAGCTGAGTGTGAGCGACCCCGCGGGGGAAGGTCATCTAAAAGATGTGACTGCCGATTGTCCCGTGAGCTGGACTCGGGCACACCGACGCTCTTCACCCACTCCCAGTCCTTGAAACGTGGGTTCCGTTCGGCTTGCTTTTCCCGCTCCCAGACGCTATTCCAAGGACAGCTTTGAAAGGTGATGTGGTGTTGAAAACACCTGCAGAGTTTATGGGACTGAGCCCACATAGGGCCTCCTGATGAACTTCCAAGATCTGGCAGGGGGTTGCAGGGACCCATTACACCTGGACAGCCCTGGGAGGGTTTCAACCCCATAGGCCCACCACTCCAAAGTCATGCCTCCCCACCCTCACTTGTTCTTGTGTCCCCACCTGGTACGGGGCCAGCCCCAGATGTCTCTGAGCTGACAGGAACTGAGTGGGGCTGTGCAGCTGGCCTGACGAGCAGCCCAGTTCCTTGTGAGCGCAACGCCCTGCCACCGGGGCTGGCCTTGTCACTGCAGCATTGGTGTGAGGCCAAACACCTGCCCCAGGGACCTCACTAGGAATGGATCCCCCTGTGTCACAGCCTGGTACGGTGCCCTGTCCAGAAACCCAATATCCTAGAGCCCCCTGAGGGGTCTCAGGCTACAGGGCCATCAGACAAACCTGGCACAGAAGGGCTGCTAGGGCACCCTGGAAGGACTGCAGTCTACATCTGCCTCGGGGCTGCACCCCCTCTTATCCATCTTCCACAGAGCAGCTGGGAGGATTCTTTTAAGTTTATGTATTTACTTAAGTAATCTCTATACCCAACGTGGGATTTGAACTTACAACCCCAAGATCAAGGGTCTCCTGCTCCTCTGAATCAGGCGCCCCAGAATCAGGTGGATTCTTTAAATAATGAAGCAGTAAAGTCACTCTCCTGCTCAAAAGATCCCCAACGAACTTAGGGTAGAATCCAAATTATCTGACCTCCAGGTCCTTCAACATCTTCCCATTCACCCTCTTTTCCATTCTCACCTCCCTCCTCCCGCCACCTCACTGACATCCACCACACTGCCCTCTGTTATTCTGCAGGGGCTGGGTCCTGCCTCAGGACCTTTGCACTTTTCTTTTCCTTTGCCCACACCACCCACGAATCCCAATCACATGTGACATTGTCCCTCTTACTTTTCTTTCATTGCTTACATTTCACCTTTGCGATAGGTCTTTCCTAGACCCCTAATATCAACTGCCCACCTCCAAGGCACTCACTTTCCTGATCTGCATTCTTAGTTCTTGTCACCATTTTAATTTTTCATTCACTGGCTTATTGTTTCTTCCACTTAGAATATAAGTTCCATGGGGGCAAAGAACGAGTGCATCATGTTCATTTCCGTATCCCCTGTCCCTAGAAGAGTTAAGGAGTATTTGATGAATGAATGAGTAAAGGACAGCCCGCACACCTGCAACCTTGCTGTTATCCGACCTGTGACACTGGCATTCCAGGCTCTCACCAGTAGCCATAGTGCCTGGAGGGCCTTACACTCTTCCCTTAGGCTCTCTGGACATGACCAGTTACAACTCCCAGGCAGCTGAGCTAATTTTTTCTTCCTCTTTCTTCCTACAGTAGACTCCTTCAAGAGGGGGAACAGAGGGCAGTTCTAGAACCTCAGGTGATTCTAGTTCATCCTCGTGTAAAAATGCCTTGGCCCACAGACTAGGGCAGCACACAGCCATTAACTAGGACTGCAAACACCTATATTCATGAACACAGAAAGGCGCCCATGACCTTCCCTGGAGTTTACGGGAACAGCATAGAGAATATGATGCATATAAAATCATCGGAATACAAAACCTTCACTGCGCATGTACACGACACATGTACCTGTGAGAATGTTCCCCGAAACGTCACCATCTGGATCACAGGATTTCTTCCAGAATTTACATTTGCCTATACTGATTATCCCTTTTGTAAAAAGAAACAAGAACAACAAGAAGAGATCAGAGCAACAAAACATCCCCAGCCGCAGCAAACCAAGAAGGAAAATGGATGCAAGCTATGAGCGAACGGATGGCGGGCGGGGTACAGCCGCAGGTGCACTGGGCCCCAGCAGGCTGCGGGGGGCGAGGCTCCGCGCCTCTGCGACCAGGGCCAGGGGGTGCTTGGCGGCGGGTCCCCAGCCCACTCGGGCAGCAGCTCGCCCACGGCCCGTCACCACAGAAACGGAATCGGCAGGCGGCTGCCAGGTCGGGATGTAATTACCCGAGGAAGCCG